TAATAGATCCTAACACTCGGGGCGGGGGGGGGGGGCAGGAGTGCGAAAGGAATCACTCTAGAGAGAGTTAGACGGCAGGACTTGGTAACTGGCTAGTGGGTCACAGTATCAGGGAGAGGGAGGTACCGAAGGAGACTGGCGAGTTGCACCCAGGGATGTGGAGGTCTGGGGTGGTGATGGGTGTCTCTTCTCAGGGGCATGCTCTTTCGGAGAAGGTGAAGTGAGGAAAGGACAGAGTATCTAAGTTCAGGAATTCCCCAGCTTTCACTGGGGCGATAGCCTTGGCAGAGAAAGCAAGAGTCTAGATTTGGAATGCGGCCTCACGGGCAGGATCGGAGAGACCATGGGCTCGTACGCGCTGACCTGGGCAAACGACCCACACATCAGGAGATCAGAGGCCGCGTCTCAACGTGAACCAGGAGTAGGGCGCAGGAGCATGGCCTCGTCAAGGGAGCCAGAGAAGGTGAAGTTGGAGGAGCAGGAGGGTGTGGGGAGCAGGTGCTGGGAAGGAAACGCCATGCAGGGCCTCAGGATGGGAGAATGGTTGTGGACAAGGGTCCGACTCGCCACTTGAAGATCATGGCTAATTTTTGTTTTCAAGAAACACAAATGCATGTGTTTTTGTCTTATGTAATAGTCCATTCATTCATGTAGCAAATATTTATCAAACGTGTAGGTCTAGGTGCTGTAAGAAAAGACAAGTCCCTACTCTCTGAGAGTTTCCATTCTGGTGGAAGTGGGAAGCAAAGAAAAGTATTTCAGGTGGTGAAAATAAAACCATCCATAGAAAGTGCCTCGAGCTGCCCCTGGAGTGTGATCAGGGAGGGCCTGTCTGAGGAGGTGATGTTGGAAGTGAGTTCTAAAAGACAAGGCGTCAGCCATGCAGGGAGCTAGGGAAGGAATACACAAGGTAGAGGGCCGGCCCCTGCAAGGGCCCTGAGGCAGGACCCGTGTGGCACCACGTGTGCGAAGGCGCCATCACGCTGTTGCCGTCATCTCCGGCTCCCAAGATCAGGGTGGCCATTGCTCCGTTTCCACAGATCATGATGGAGGAGCGGATTATGCAGCAGCAGCACACAGTGAAGGCTCTCCAGGATGAGCGGGAGTCCCAGAAACACGGATTCGAAGAAGAAATCATGGAGTACAAGGAGCAGATCAAGCAGCACTCCCAGACTATTGTGAGTCTGGAGGAGAGACTCCAGAGAGTGACCCAACACCATAAAAAAATAGAAGGCGAGATTGCCACTTTGAAGGACAACGACCCAGGTAGGTGCAGAGAGAGGCCGAGGAAACCCCGGCATTGGGGGCAGGTTCTGATGACTACGTGGGTCCCCGTAGGCTGGCTAATAAAAGGGGCACACCTGCTCTACCAGGAGGCCTGCTTTTCTTCTTGTCACGCGACGACACGAGGAGCCCGCTGAGGCTGGGGTGAACACAAGTGACCACAATCCACTGGGACATCCTTTGTGCCAGCCTAGTGAGCCGGTGACACACAGGCTACCAGCAGGGGCATTGAGACCAGCGTGAAGTGGAATCAGCTTTTCCACATGAAAACATCTCGTGCAGGGCCTTTCAAAGGCTTCTGCGTGCCCTCAGCCATTTGCAACCTGACTAATGTACTTTCATTTCCAGCAGGATTTGTCTCTTAAAAAATAAATCGAAAAAGGCTGAAATGGGAACTCAGAGTGGTGAGCATGAATTCACCCCAAATGGCCGCAGTAACTCCCGTTATCGCAAAGATGCTAAGTTCTCGGAGAGTTCTGGAAGTAGAGGCCCCAGGCCCCAGGTCAGGGTTTCTCAGCCTCAGTGCTATTAACAGTAGGGGTTGGAAAAGTCCGTGGTGGGGGGGACCATCCTGTGCATTCTAGGGTGCTTAGAAACATCCCTAGTCTCTACTCACTAGGTGCCAGGGGCCCCCCAGGCCACCAAAAATGTCGCAGACAATGTCATATGTTAGAAACGTGGTCCTGGTCCTGACAGCTGGCCAGCCGGCAGGGCTGACTTGTGCATTCGTGCGTTCAGCACACTCAGCTGAGCATCTGTTATGTTCCAGTCTCACTAGGTACTGGGGGTCAGTGATGGGAAAGCCGGGAATTGTCCCAGGAGCTGACCTGACTGACAGGTGTTCCGGAATGGCCAGGGCACAGAGCAGGGCTTAGTTTCCTAACGCAGAGTCCCGGGCAGGGGGAGGATGTTGAAACCGGGACCTAAACGGTGACTGCATCCTTGTGATCTCACACTTAAATCAGTGCCTGCCCGAAGCAGGCATTCCGTCAGTCGTTTGTTGAATGAGTAAACAAGCGAGTGACTGTGACAGAGTGGTGGGAATGGAAGCCAGAAGGCAGTGAGCTGGGAGTGGGAGGTGAGGACAGGAAGGCACTGAACAGATTGTTCTTTCAAGACTCTCGGCCGGGCTGAGAGGAGAAAGGGCAGGCGACGTCCCCCAGCCGCGACCAC